TAGCTGTAAACAGTATTTTGCGATGTAGCAATTGAAGCGAAAATTTCTTGAGCTGTAACATAACTATGATAAATATTGTTACGATACTGTTTCTGAGAAAGTATTAACTTTGTTTTTTACCTCTCCTTTTGTCTCTTTCCCGATTGCACAGTTTAAAAGATCATGCACTATATTGCTCGTCTTCTTCATCTACACAATAAACTTATAATAGAAATATTTCATAAAATATTTGAGATTTTATGTACTGATAAAAATATTTTGATTAAAATGATATGATTAAAATGCGATCTTATCATATTCATTATCCTACCTCAATTAATATCCTTGTAATTCTATTGGTGAGAAGAAAGATGGGATAAATCAGAAATATCATCCAGATGATGGTGATAATAAACTTCCAATAATTGAAGATCTCAACAGAAATCAACAGAGGCAAAAGAAGATTGGAACCATCATATATGAGTGTCAGTAAGAAAAAAACGATACCGAATAGTACTGGTAGTGAATAGAAACTCGACACATCTTCAGAGATTTCACAGAGATGACAATGCACATCTCGCAGTTGTAACAATTGATAAACGGTCGAACTGTTGACTACGACACGACGCGTTTGATAGGGAGACTGCAATCGAAGATCAGGTGTATTGGTTCTGATGAGGCTTTGTATTACTCGATTCACATCACTGAAATCTGTCTGAATGACCGTCACCAACAAGAAGTACTGTATCAGTAGCCAATTCACGAAAATTGTCAGCACATCTTCTATCGCCCATAAGATTTTACCCATTTGGAAGATATCAAGAAACAGGAGGAGTGTCAGCAGACAAATGTTCAAGATGCAAGCGATTATCATAGTGTAAAAGACACGCTGTCGTCGTAGCGGATAATATAGATCATACATACGATCTATCTCATGCTCGATGATGATTAATCGATTGGCGATCCGCACCAAAGACTTCTGATTGATACAGTAGCTAATCAAAATCACGCAGATCACTAGTGCACCAAGTACAGTTTGTAGAACCGAGAAGCCTACAGTAAAATTCGTCTTGATCCCGTAACTCAAATTAAGTTTGAATTGTATAAACATATAGTTCGCGGCTATCATTAAGCTACTCAGCACAACATTGTAAACGATTCCTAATTTGGAATGTTGAAATGTGTATGACGTTCTCTTTTTGTATATGACGATTCGGTGAGCGAATGTAGCGAGACCGATAAGCTTGTAGAACATTATCAGTATTCTGAACGTCCAAAATAAATCTTGATGTAGCCCTGATTTTACTTTGTTCACTTTCTGTTCATTATTTTTTTCCACAAAAGAATTTTCTTCATTTATATTTTCAAAGAAATTGAAGGTTTTATTGACATTCATGAAAGTTGAATTCTTTATCGAAGACATTTTTCTAATAATTTTTATGAAATCTTTTTCGATAATGTTTGAATTCTACATTAATATCTACTTCTTCTCTTCATTAGGTCTTATCAATTTATCCATGTTGCCTTGTGTTTCATGATTTATAAATATTTTCTTTAGGAAAATTCCTATTCAATTCTTCTTAAAAGTTTTTTTTCAAAACATTTGTATATATAAAGACCTTGTTTAATTTGTATACTTTAAATCTTCTTACTAAAACGTTTCACGTATACATTATTATAAATTGATAATTTAAGAGGCGTCCGTTTTATTTTATTGACACCTGTCGTTCCAATTGCTCTGAATCCAAATTAATTACGACCGTTTAAACATCCTATACAACTAATTGTGAGTTCGGTAAAAATTCACGTGTATTCTAATTGACGTTGCTCTTTATAATTCTTACGAAGTAGCACTGAGCATGTAGCGATGCTTCCGCAAATACTTTCTCGCAAGCATCACATATGCAAAACATTATTAAATATTAAATTTGCGAAACGCGTGATAAGGAAGTCAATAATTTAGCTCTGTTTCAG